CTGTCCTGTTTTAGTTTGGAACTTATTTGTTTATGAATAAGGTGGAAACACTGAAATAGATTATGGAATAGAGTTTGATATTCCAATGAAATGTCATTAGTTCAGATTCTGTGAAAGCAAAATTAGCCATAATTTCAAAGTGGTGTGGACTAAACCTTATGAATTGATTAGCTATAGAAAAGAACCCACATAAGATAAATTTCATTCCTTAAGGTAAGTCCCAACTAGACATGCTGTTATTCTAGATACTTCCTGGCTTATTGTTTATTGAACTTAACACATATGCATAACAAGTGCTTAGGGATAATGGGGGGGGGGCACAGAAAAAGTGAAGAAAACTCTTAAGACTGCTATCATGTTTGAATTACAATAATTACGAAGTAATTCTTACAATTTTAAAAACCTTTTTCTTTACATTAAACACCTGTCAACAATTTAGTGAACCTAAATCTGTTTAATGAATGAGGCCCAGTAGCTGAGTGGTTACAGCCCTGGATGGGGAGTCAGGATAGCTGGGTTCAGATCCCAGCATTCCACCGAAAATGTTGGGTGAACTCCTTCATTCAGTTTTCACTCAGTTTTCTCGTCTGTCAAATTGTGAAAGAACTCTTCTCACACAGTTGTAAATAATAATGATGCCCCTTTTTAAAGTGTGAAGTCCTGTACAAATAAAAGGGGCTATTGAAGTCATTATTGTCGGAAGCCTAGGGATGGTGCTAGGCCATGGGTGGAGGTTGGTGTCTGGCAGGAAGCAGGAGAGAGAAGCAGGATGGAGGCCGCAGATGCAGAGGAGCTCTCCAAGCGGCAGCTGGCCTGAGCCTGGCCCACCGCTTCTCCAACCCTCAGAGGATGGCCCCCAAGGCCAGTCTGCCCACTTGCTCGCCTGGAGGCAGTGGTGAGAGGTGAGTGACCTCCCATTCTCCACTCCCCAGCTCTGTCTGGTCTGAGTGGCTGGCTAAGCCAGGCAGAAGGAGGTGACAGACTCCCACCAGGGTTCCACTTGGAGGAGAAAGCCCCATCTCCTCAGCTGTCGGCTTTCATCTTAGGGCGATGACCTTGGCTACTGCTATGGTCACTCTCTTTATGCCTTCCTGAGGTTCAGCTTCAGCATTCAGTTCCTGACCACATCCTCCCTGGTGTCTTCCAGCTCACCTCCTGCCTGCTGAGCAGTCCCCGTGTTCAAAGTAAGTACAGTCCAATTTTCACTGTAGTTATTGATTCTTGTGTGCTGGTTCCTCTTCCCAAATCTCATCATAAATTTTAGTCTCAAACTATTATTTCGCCATTTTTTAAATCCTCGTCTCCCTGGCACCTTGCATGGATAAGACCTTTAACAGATAGCGAAATGCAGAGTTTTCAAACTCAATCAATGATCTTTGAAAGGAAAACTAAAATCATTACAGACCCTTGGGAAGGCATGTGGCAACCTGTCACCTCCTTCTGCCTGGCTTAGCCAGCCACCCAGACCAGACGGCGCTGGGGAGTGAAGGGTGGAGGTCACTCACCTCTCACCACTGCCTCCAGCCAAGCGAGCCCGCAGATCGGCCTTGGAGGCCCCACAGGAGAAAAAAACAGGTGGTAAAGGACATAGGAAGGGAGTCACTGGACCCTGACCGTGTGACCTCGGGCCAATCTTGGCCAGATTACCTCCTCAAACATGGTAGCAATTCACACTCTCAACAGCAGCGTGAGAGTATCCATTTCAGACCAGTGGTTTTCAAACTGTAGCAGAACAAAGATCTCCTCAAAAGCAAACTCAAAGACCCACCATGTAAATTGCCTAGATTCCCCAATCATTGGGATACTTCTCTACAGGCAAAACCCCAGAAACACCTCATCATTGCCCTGGAACCACCGCCCCCTGGGGTTCCAAGTGCACAATTTTAAAACCCCAAGTCTAGATCACGCCTGGCACCTCCCACCTATATAATTGTACTTGTCTGTTGATCGACCTGTAGATAGAGCGCTTGGGTGGCAGGGTGGGTGGGGCTAGGTTTTCCTCAGGCTCCTGAACTGCTGGAGGCAGCAAGTGGGACGGCACAGCCTTTCAGGCCAAGGCCGAGAAGGAGCTGGCCCAATAACAGAGGCAGGAAAGTCAGAGGCCATGCAGAAATCTGCTGCTGGGAACAGCGCTCCCCGCCAAGGGTCTCTGACAGCTCTTTTCTTGCCCATTACCTTATGAAACCAGTATTTACTGAGGGCTTTTCACTGGAGCCGGACACTGTACTCTGGGCGGGGGATTTACGACACAATCTCCACCTCTGAAATCGCTGCGGGTTCTTCAGGCGCCGACAGGTAAACGCCAGGTTAGCACGGAGTGACCATGGAAACTCAGGAAGGCAGGCGACCGGGTCTGAGGGCGAGGCGGGAGGAGGTTTCTGGGAGGTGCTGATCCTTAGGATTAAAACCAGAAGTGGAAGCGGGAGCTAGTTAGATGGAGGTAGAGGGACAGGGCAAGAACCTTTTACAGAGAAGAAAGATGCATTTCTACATTCAAAGGTAGCAGAAGAAAGAGAGCGAGCCAGGGGCTGAGCTGAGTTCGAATCCCGGCTCCGTTTTTGATCCCGGCTACATTATTAGAGTCTCCTCGTCTGAGAGGCCTCCACAGCCTGCAGGGCCGTGGAGAGGCCTAAACCAGATAATGAATACAGCACTGGGCACACAGCTACCTAGGGAATGTATTAAGTGGTGTTCAATCCTACCCAGGACACGAGTCTGTCAGCTGATTAACCACAGGTTTGCCACCAGCACCTCTCTCCCCGTTGTCGCCTCGCTGCCTGGCCCAGAGCCTTGCATTCTGAAGGCACCCAATGAATACCTATCAAATGAACGCTGAATAAGTACAAAGGCATATAAATAATTTTTCGGGATTAGGAAGCCGTTGTCATAAGGCTGGAGCCCATCTACCTCTCCGCCCATACGGGCGGACCCACGGCTTCTCAAACTTCGCGGCTGGCGTTTCCCTCACACACGGCCACCTCACCAGCTCTCCTGGCACACACCACACAGCAGCACACTGCCCACGGCAGCACCCTCACACACATCAGTGGGGCACACACAGGGACACGGGGCTCCTCCTTCAGACACAAATGCGCAAGCTGAATGGTCACAACAGGTTTTACCTTGTGAAGTGCACAGAGGCTGCCCAAAATGTTAAATAGAAGTACCTCAAATGTCTCGTCCTCCCTCTTGCTCACACACAGACACCTTCAAGAGACACCTTCTTTCTCCACCTGAGTTTCTTCTTACCTCAAGCAGAGTGAGTGTCCCACACTCACATCTACCCAGTTGAGACCTTGTACCTGGACTCCCAGTTGCTCCCATTAGCTGTGACCCCAGGGAAAGCCCTGCCCCTCTGGTGCCTCAGTTTCCTCACTGATGGAACACAGAGAGTTAACTGTGCTTCAAGCCAACTTGGTAGTTATGTTGTGAGGATAAGGGAGATAACAAATGAGATAATGTCTGTGATATGCAGAAAGCACCTCAGAAGAAAGGCGCTGGATAAATACAAGGTGTGAACCCCACACCTGATTAGTGGGTATGCCTCTGCCCACAGAGTCCCACCCACAGACTCTGCTCACCTCCATCCTTGAACACGAACACTCTTCCTGCCCGTAAATGCTGTCTCTAATAACTATTTGCATGTATGTGCATACGCATACATACTTCCAACACCTGTATTTTCCCCATCATGCCCACAGAAAATTGTTTTTGAACTCAGAGTAAGCTCAGGTTACAAGCACTCTCTTGGCCCTGCCCACAGACTCTTCTCAAGGGTCTCTGCTACAGGAAGAATTGCCAAGCGGACAGCTCATCTCTGTGGCTGGGCTCCTTGGCTCCCACAGTTACAATTAGACTGCACTTACAGCAAAGCAGGAGACCCTTATCTGGCACAGCCTCTGCCAAGAGCTCTCCAGAACTCTGTACTCAAGCACCCGAAACCAGAGCAGAAGGGCTGACGGCCAGCAGGAGGGTGTGGATGGAAGAGAAAGGACCCAGAAACTTTAGTTGCTCAGATCCCTAAGCACTCCTTGTTCCTGGGAAATTGAGGGCTCTGAAGCTAACAGGTCCGGAACATTTTTCCAGGCCTGACACACTCGTGGGCGAGCAGAATACTCACTTGCTCCCAGTTTAATCCTTTCCACTTGGAGCAGGAAAGAGAAAGACCACCTGGCCGTTAGTGTTTTGGTGCCTGTTGCTGCTGAACTTTGTGCTCTGAAGGTTGGAGTTAAGCATGTAAAATGGTGTGTGTGTGTGTCTGTGTGTGTTTAGGGATGGACAGGCAGCTGGGGGCTGGCTGCTTGTGCTGGATGAGAGAAAGAAGTAAATGTGGCCCGTGCATAGGTGTGAGACTGTGTGTGTGTGTCTGTCTGTGTGTCTGTGTTGCTCTGGCCGACCTTCATGTCCAGGACTGACTGCGGTAACCTGCAGCTTCAGGGGCCCACTTCAACATCCAGGTTCATCACTCCCCTCTCTATCCACCCCAGTCAGTGTGACATATCCTTCAGGGAAGTATTCCTAACCTCTAACCGCATCTGAGTCCCCGCCACCAGCGCGGACACAGCCCATCTCCTAAGTTCCAGACGGAAAGTTCAGTGTCCGGTCCCAGCTGTCAGACCCTCCGCCCGGGGCCAGGCCCCTCCGGCCTCACGCACACCTCCGGCTTCCTCACCTCCCACATCACTGTCACCCATACTGACGTCCATCAAGATCAGACTCGGGCGGGGAGTCGATAAACCCGGTCTGCAAGAGACGAGACAAAGACAGAAGGACGGACGCACCACCCTTTCCCGGGGCTGGGACCGGACCAGCAGCACCCACCCCGGCAGAAGGCAGACCCTGACAGCTGCGTGCAGAGACAAAGACAGTTGGAGATCCGACAGACAGACGGCCGGACGGACGCGCCGGCACGCCGCGGGGAGCGCGGTTTCCCCGGACTGGGGCGCCGGGTCGGCCGCAGACGCTTCTCGGAGGGACGGGAGCCTCTCCGCGCACCCTACCTGCCTCCTGCGCGGGGGCTGGCTCCAGAATCGTTGCCGCGCGTGTCCGCGCTGCGTTCCCGTCTCTCCTCTCCCAAGCGGCCGGGCCGGGCGCGTCCCACGGCGCCCGGTACCTCGCGGAGCTGGCGGCTGGACCAGGCGGAGGAGGACTCCGGGACCCGCGCCCGCCCGCGCGTCTGCTCCCGGCGCCCGCCCGCTCCCGGCGCGCCGGCCTCTGCGCGGGTCTAGGGGCCGGGCGGGGCGGGGCCGGCGCCGCTCATTGGCCGGGGTGGGGTGGGGCGGGGCCTGCAGGGCGGGGCGGGGCCGGAGGGGTGGGGCCAGCGCTGACTGGCCGGGGCGGGGCGGGGTCGACGCCGATGATTGGCCAGAGTCGGGCGGGGCGGGGCTGGCGCCGCTCATTGGCCTGGGCGCCACCCAGCCTGGTCCCCGCCGGGCCGCCTTTGTTCCCGCTGACAGCTGGGCTGCTAGACCTCCCGGTTCGTCCGCGTCCGCCTTGCGAGGACCGGCCCCATCTCTCCGCTCTCACTTCACCAGACCCCGCCCTGTCGGCCCAGTCTTTCCCTTTCTCCAACTGTTCCCGTCTGCCCCCATCCCCTGCTTTTATCACCTGCGCTCAGGTTTTACTCCTTCGGATTTCCTTTATCCATCCTTCTCTTTATCCTTTTCTACATTTTCCCCTCCTCTATCACCCCTTCCTCATCAGTTTCCTTTTCCCAGCACCCTCTCCCCATTCCAACCCCCAAACCCCACGGAAAGCCTGGATTTCTAGCTTCCCAGACCGGACCAGCAGCCTCACAAGGGGCGCTGCTTCTCAGGCCAGCATACAGCCGGGAGCCCTGGCACTCCCTCCCAAGACATTGCAAAGGCAAACTTGCCCAGCTCCCTGCCAGGGACTGAATTTCAGGCTAACGCTGAGGCCTGTTTCAAGTTTATAGCTAGTAATCTCACCCAGTATGGTTCTAACGCTATCATTTTCTCTACCACTCTCACTTTCATCTTCTAGCCGTTGACCTGGGAGGGGAACCAAGCTTACACACTACGGTTGGATAAAGGGTCAGTTAAGTGGGGTGCCAGGTGGTGCACGAGGCTGTGGTCCTGAGGGTGCTCGGAAGCGAATCTGATAAAACCAGGCGTAGCTCCGCCCAGAGAGTGCCGGCCTCAGCCTAAAGAGGTGTGTATGTGTGGAGGGGGGAGATTGAGGTGGCTGGCCTCTGAGTGTAGGTGGAACGAGCAAGCCAGCCAGAAGGGAAGCCACACCGTTTTGTCCCTTACTCAAAACCCTGAAAGGGATCCTCACTGCCTCCAGATCTTGACCCTGAAGAGGCCAGCTCTCAATTGCAGCATCCGGGGAGGCAGCACAGTGCTGGGTTAAGAGCGCAGACAGGCTCTGCCCCTTCTCGTCTGTGTGGCCTGAGTCAGTCCTCCAGCTCCCCAGGTCTCAGCTTCTTCATTTGTGGACAGGGGGATAATTCCAAGCAGCTGAACTCCCTGAGAGCAGGGACGGCTCTCTGGTTCATGGCTGAGAGACTTGGTCTCTTTGGCCATCCCCAACACCTGGAACTTGCCTGGCACAGAGTAGGCACTCCATGAATATCTGTTAAATGAGTGAATTCCTAGTTCATAGGCTTGTTGTGAGGATTAAATAAGAATCCTTGGCATGTGGTAAGTACATACACATGGCAGTTATTACAAGGAATGCTGCGCCTTCTATGTGTAAACCACAAAGGCTACTCAGCCTTCTCTGAACCTCACCTCTTCTTCCTCACCTTTGTACACACTCATCCCTCAGTGTAAAAGCCTTTTTCCTGCTCCTCTTAACTCTCCCTCTCAAAATCTGAGTCCTAAGGTGCAGTCCTCCTGCCTTCTCTGATCGCCCCCGGCGGAGCCGCAGCTCCTTTCTCTAAGCCCCATGCTTCTTGGGGCCCATTCATTGGCACAACACAGGTCTGCTTGCTTGCATGGTGGCCGTGACTGCAAGTCTGTCTTTCCCTAGGGTGTGTGCTGTCTGGGGCCAGGGGCTAGACTCGACCTCTATTTCCAAAGGCAGATGTGGTGCCTCACAGGTGGGAGTTTCTCAGGAATATTTGCTGAATGGGTTAATGTAGATCAAACATTCCAGCCACTTAAAGAAAGGGCAGACTCTTGGAAGGCAGAGGAAGGGATCTGGTGGGCTCCAGACTTCATCATCATTTTTTCGTCTTCAGATGTGAAATTCCATGTGGAGAGCAAAAGGATCCTGGAGGCCTGCTCCTTGTTTTGGCCCTTCACCTGGCTATTTAAATGCTCTTGGACAAAACCATGTTCTTGGCTAGGCCTCAGTTTCCCCATCTGCAGAGTGAGTAATTTGGATGAGATATGCTTTAAGGGCCCTCCTCCAGCACTGACGCACTGTGGGTCTCTGTCAGGGGCATTCTGGGTAGAAGATGAGCTTGACATGGAAGCCTCTTCTTCTTTTTTTTTTGTGAGGAAGATCAGCCCTGAGCTCACATCTGTGCTAATCTTCTTCTATTTTATGTGGGATGCTGCCACAGCATGGCTTGATGAGCAGTGTGTAGGTCCATGCCCAGGATCCGAAACTGTGAACCCTGGGCCACAGAAGCAGAGCACACAAACTTAACAACCACACCACAAGGCCGGCCCTGCAGCCCTCTTCTAATGTGTGGGTTAGGTGTGAGCAGTGGCTGCGGGGTGTGTGAGGGGTGAAAGCTGGATACAGCATGGAACAATAGAAAAACCTTGTGCAAGGGACGCTTCATAGATGAAGCCGGGGACTTTGAGAGTGCAGTGAAAGTAAGGAAGCAGGATGAGGGGAGGAGAACTGTGATGGTGCAGCATGTACGCGTGTGTGTGTGTCTGTGTGTGTTCACAAAGGCCTTGAGAATGTGGTCTCCAGAAGTACAAAGCCATAGTTAGCTCCCTGATTCAGCTGTTGGCTATGGCCGTGCAACGGCTGGGTATGTCTGCCCCTAACTCCCTTGGTGAGACCTTCGCTGTGGCTCCTCTCTCCTTTGTCTAGTAGGAGTGCTGCCCTTCCTGGGCTCTGGGTATCCCAACTGAACCTCTGCATCCCTCAGGTTCTTCTTTGCCTGGGCTGAGTATAGAAAGCTGGGTCACAAGGCATGTTCTTATAAAAAAAAAATTCCCTGCCATTCTCATCTACTCATCACCTGAGATTCAAGTAGCTTAGTATTCTGGCTTATCATTCTGTTCTTCATCTCTAGGACCTAAGATTGGCCACACAGGACCAGACCCATGGACCAGTTAAGCCAGCAGCTTGTCTGGATTAGAAATACCTCTGCCTTTCTCAATCACAATTTAAAAACTTTCCCAGTTTCTTGTTTGTCTCTTCAACTCTTCTGTAAATTTCTCATTCAAAGACCAACAGTTTTCTTATTCAACATTAAGACTTGGACTTGTCACAACCTTATTGGTAAAATGGACCTAATAACATTTGCCTTATCCATCTTGTGACAATCATGCAAAGATAAAAAGAATTAATGAAGTAGAAGGTGGTAGGAAAAGTGAAAAATGTCAAATAATTTTTAATATTATTTCAAGTCTAAAAATCCAGGGCCTTATCTTCGGAGATAAGAATGGCTGACTATATTTAACTGAGGTTGGGTAATCTCCAAAAGCAGATGAGAGAATATTATAATGCTAGATCTCTGAGTGAAGCTCTAAGGGCTCAACAGGCTGCTGCTGCTCCACCCATCTCCCAGCTACCCCAGGAGAGTACAGGAAGGCTGGGTTTCCTGCAGGCTGAGCCAATGCCTCCTGACCTTAGAGGATGCGCCCCCAGTACCTTGTCTCTCTCCAGGGTAGAAAACAGTTCCCCTGGATGTGCAGCAATTACAACCAGAATTTACATTCCTTACCTGCATGTCCCTGGGCACCTCTTATCTCTAGGCTTCAGTAAACTCCCCTTTGCATTGGGAGGAACGTCGCCTCCTTGACTTCTTAGGGTGTTAGGAAGACAAGTGAGACAAAATGCAACTAGTGCTTCTCTTTCCTAGAAACTGCTATGTGACTTCAAGAACTCTTTAGCATCCACCTCATCGTCATCGGTGGTGTTATTATCTGTATCTTCGTTCTGAGTGCTTAACCTGTATTCAGGTTCAGGAGACCAGGCAAGTTGTCGAGGGAACAAACACTCTTCGGAGAGAAGTTTCTGGCCTCGGAATCCCTATTCAGGGATGACTCGTCCCCAGTAACATGCTAGAGTTCCCTTAGGAAATATGTCCATCTTGCTCTTTCACTGAAAAGGAAAACTGAGTCAAAGAGCAAGATGAGAAATTGGCCCAGCTTCGCTGGAGTTGGGAGCCCAGGGTTTTAAGGCACGCGTCTGATAGCTGCCTCAGAAACTGCGTGACTGATACTGTGCCTGAATGTGGTTTGGTTTGAACACAGTAGATCACAGGCAGGCAGCCTTCCCCTGAGCAAAGAATAGTGAACCCGCCACCTTGACTAACATAAAACTGGGCTCAAACAGCACTAACTAGCTTCCAGGGTGAGTAAGCTTTGTTCAGCCACGAGCTGACGAGGCTCATGTGATAATCATTTAGCAAACCCTTCGATGTAAATACTGGGTTGATCTAGATTACAGAGAAATGAGAGGGAAGTATTCTGATTTTACCACCCCCCGCCTCCCCCCCCCATGTCTTTTTCATAGGATTTAATAGGCTGTTTCTAATTCGGCATCCTAGCTCTGACAAGTCCTGGCCCATCCATCACCTGTTCTGGAATCTATCTCTTCCATGGTTTTGACTAGTTTGTCTAAAACTGTAACAGAAATTGTCTAAAACTGAATCAAACTAGCTTAAACAATAGGAAAAAATCTCATCAATTAATAAATTTAGAGATTAGGGTTAGTTCATATCTCACTTCCGAATGGCATCAGATCAGGTTTCCATCGCTCTCTTCTGCTGTCCTCAGAGCATGGGCTTTGCTCTCGGGACAGTTGCTCCATGACTGCAGGTTGGATCTACCACTGTAGTCGTTATACCCAGAACCCAGCAATGGGCTGAGGAATAAATGACCTTTGCTCTTGCCGCTCTTTCCTAGGATCAAGAAATCTTTCCTGGAAGGCTGTCAGCTAACTCTGGATAGGCTTGGCCCCATCATCCAGCAATCATAGCAACTTCAATGAGACTGCTGTGATTGGCTTTGATCAGTTGATTGGGGATGGAATAGATACTGGGACATATGTATACATCTCACCTT